TGATGATGATGATGATTAGCTGTTGCACTAAAAAAAAAAATATTCACTCAGTGGACCATATGCATGGGCTGTGTACTGCTGTGCTGGTTAAATATATATGTGCACTAGTGGAAGAGAACATGGACAGAATAGTTTACATTTCCAAAATTGTTCAAAGCTGACCTTTCTATACAATTACATATCTGTCTTTCCTTCCAATTCGGTGATTGCGCATTGGCTGAGGTGACGTCTTCAGTCTGCTGCAGGCAAGAGGAAACGCTTCCTCAGTCTCTTCTTTCCGAGTCATCACAGTCTGCAATAGTGCAGCTATTGAGAAAATGGGGGGCTAGATCAGTGGCAAATATTTGTGAACAGATTTGCACAGGCAGCAGGATTTATGGCATCACAGAGCCTGGATATAAGAAAAAAAAAAACAGAAAGGGTTCCTTGCCTCAGAGACAGCTACAAAAACCAAAACAATAGTGGGTGATAGAAAGAAGACAGTCTCTAATGGGTTCAAATGGCAGTTTCTGAACCCTAGAGAACCAGATTTAATTCCCAGTCACAGGGGAATGGATCAGGGCAGCTACATGGGAGGCCCCTGTATCAAGATCTTAGCCAAAAAGTAAGAGGTCAATGGCCTCTAAGATAGAATAGAAGGGCAGAAACATGACAATTGATAGTACTGAGAACCAAACACTGGTCCAAACCCAGCAGCCGAAAGGAGAGGATTTGTCCTATGGGTAATCTCCTTGGGTGGAAGCCCTGAGGTCCACTTCAAGTGAAGTATGCATTCAATCTCCGATGATAAAACTTGAGAAGTAGACCTCCTAGCTTTTCGTGTCATAGGACTTACAAACTCAGAGATGCCCTATAACTCAGAACCTGGCCATACCGTTAAAGCTAGCAACTGTAAAGCAGGATGGCAAACCGGTCCTTGGGACAGAACATCCAGACGATCTTGCAGAGACCATGGTTTGCCTGCCCGGAGTCTTTCTATGTCAGAGTACCACATTTATCTTGGGCAGACCGGAGCAACAAGGATCACCAGAATGCCTTCCTTCTCAATCCTGTGAAGCAGACAAGGAAGAAGTTTTCATGGAGGAAAGGCAAAACAAATAAATGTGTACGGATCCCAGGAAGCCACCAAAGCATCCACTTCTTCGGCTAGAAGATCCCTCTAAGCTGGTACTTGGAGGAGTAATCCTGGGATGGCCTACAGTTTTTTTTTTTTTTTGCCCGTGTCAAATCTTCCCGTAGGAGGCAGTATCACCAAAGATTAAAGTCAGATAGTAATTTTCTGACTGGAGGGTATCCACTTCTTCACTCCCCAGCCCTACTTACCCTCGTCTGCCCCTTTCATTCATTGGATTACAGTACTTCAAATCATAGAAGCTTAGCATCACATGTTGGCAATACTTAGGACAGTCTATGTGCAAATGCAGCCTGCCTTGGAAAAACGCTGCTCCAAGCGGACATCCACCCACCAAGCCATTTAGATATTTGCATACTCAGGCCCCTGAGAGATGTACTCCAAATTCATGTCCAGAGTTTTAGATTGGGCTTGTCAAACAAGCTCATATTAGGTGTTATGGTTTGGCATCTGCAAACCTTTGACGATATAGTGTACTAAACTGTCTAAAATTGATATAGTCTGCATTGCTGCATGCCATATTGGATCTTGGAAAATTGTTAAAAGGGACATGTACGGATTATCCCTTACTGGTAGGATATGACATGGCAGAATTTTTTCTCTCATGGTAACAATCTGTCATTTTTAGAGAAGCCAATCTTGTGAGAGCTTATTGATATTAGTATGTTGCCCTCATTGCTCCATCGTATAAGTAGACAATAAAAGACATATGTTCAGAGCAGGCATTGAAAACAATTTATTGAAAAAGGCACAGTCACACCCTCCACACAGAATACCAACACGATCAGTGATCAGACACCACAAAAGAACAAAAAAAAAAAAGTCAAGAAGAAAAATATAAGTGAGGTGTTTTAGCATTTCTACAGGACTATGTACAGAGCACACACCTGGTCTGGGTACACGCTACTTTACAAAGAGTTGAGGGATGTCATTTTTCTTTTAAACTCCTACAATGCCATGCAAATTAATGGCAAATATAAAAATGCATTTTTCTTTTTATTACACCAGCTTTAAATACCAGGATTAAAGATGCAGCGCTGTTATGCAGAGACTGAACGATTGCAAACTTTTCCAGAGCACAGAGGTTAAAGATTTTTCTGAACAAACTTCTGCCAGTCCTGCTTACACAATTGGGAATATTGGAACTCCTTAACAAGTAGATAAATCTTAGGCCAAGAACAGATGAGTGATGCAGAGATTTTTGAAATGGACTGCTCTCCTCCCTGCTTGTGTCAGAGGAGAGTCATTTCCAATTCTTTCCATGTTGAGCTGATGCTGCTCAGCAAGGGGTAGACATACTGTGTGTTTCTATTAGGAAATGCACAGCATGTTCGATTGCCCATCTGAGAATGCCCTTATGATACTATACCTTCAATCACAGGGACAGAACTGAAAAAGCATAGGCTCATTCAATAGGCAATTTTCCCTACAAGTTCATTTAACCATTTGATGTTGATACCATTTCAGTGTGCATATACTGACCAAGCACAATAACGCATAAATCAATCACTTCAGGCTTCCTGTGACTGTTAATTATTTAAATAACAGTCCAAAGGGAACTGATGCACAGTAACCAGCATCAATCAGGCTTTAAAAGGTCTCCTGTAATCTGATTGAGGACTTATGATTGCAACTATGGATTATTGTACTCTTTCTAAACTACAGGTACACTAAAATTTAACAAACACCCTTGAATCCAGGTATATGTTCAATAAAAATGTGTTTTAAGTATGGCTAGTATACATTCGCCTTCATATTCACCTGTTGTAATCCAATATGAAGCAGTATTCACACTGGGCGAGCAAGGGTAAGCATTGGGCCAATCTGTGCTCTTTTGTTTTGCAGTGTTGCCAGTCTAACAATCAACATGCTTCCAGATGGTAAGAGCACAAGGATGTGCTGTGCGCATTTCAGCCGATTCTTGATGAATCAAAGGAGCTGGTCAGAAAATCTTTGCACAAACAGTGGGCAGCCACCCAGCTATCGGCTCTGTTTGGGTATTCTGACAGCGGCAGGCAGCCACCTTCAGAATACGGGAGATTCCTCGATCAACGTTGGTAAGCATTGATGGAGGAATCTGCAGACTGAACGAAGAACATATTACAATGGAGTTAGTCCTTAAATAAGCGAGTAGCGTTGCCTTCATTTCAGTGGGAGAAGGGGATGCACAGAGAATGCTTGCTTTAACACTACTGAGTGAATATTCCATATTGCTTTCTGAAAGAAGTTTCAAAAGATCAGTTGGTTAATCTGTCACCAAGGCAGCAGTAGAAAGGTAGCCAAAATAGCACTTTAAATAGGTACAGGATTATATAAATAAAAGGAACGTCCCAGAATAGAAATAAGGGAACAGTCATTCTTGAAGGTGCAAGATCCAGAAGTAATTATTTTCCTTCTCTCACTACTTCTCAGAGTCTCTGACATGGAAAGTGTATAAACACACTTGAATGCATATGCTTTCATCATATAAAGGACTCCCTAAGTAGTCAAGTATAGATCAGGAGAATCCTGGAGTTTACACCTTCAAAACCAAGTCAATAAAAGCAGCTCCCATATTTTTATTCTGACACATTCCCTTTAAGTCAAAGGAATACAGAGGCACCTAATAATTAGCAAAAAAAACCCTCAAACATCATAAGCAGGAACTTAACCATTGTGAAAAGTGTAAGCCATTTTTAGAGGGGACCTGTCAGTAACTTCACAAGTATGCATGTATAATTTTGTTATATGCTACAATAAACAGCAACAATAGACTTTTAAAAAGCTGTACCTTTTGTCAGTAAAACACAGCCCATAAGCTCCAGTTAATTGACAGTGCCTAGGAAGCATCTCTAAGTCTACCTCAGAAAAGTACACTGGGAGAATAACAAATCAGGGTCTGCTGCAAGTCGGAGGAAACATTTCCTTCATCTCCTCCAGTCATCACCTAGAATGCAATTTTTTGGCAAGTCACAGGGTGAGATGCTGCAGCAGATGCTAGTCTGTACGGGAAATGCTATACCCACAACCAGAAATAAAGTCAGACCGCGTCATCCCTAGGTCAGGATCTTGGTTGAGGCAGCGGACCTTGAAAATATGGCACCAGCCTTCTCAGGGGGAGTATTGGGAGGCTGACATTACTTGCTCTAATTTTGTTCTAGGAAATTCAAAGTAACATTTTGAGACAACGTTAATTGATCTGGGAGATATGGGCATTAAACAAATCGTGTGTGTATATATATATATATATATATGTTTATGAAAACCTCAGGAAAGCACATGACATGGAGAAGTTGCCTAAACTAATAATTCAGACTCCAGATGTCATTTTCCAGATGTCACAGACACTATAGCCAACACCTTCACTTATTCTTAACCCTAATATTTATCTCTGGCAACCACAGTATAAGGGCTATGTCAGAGAAGTCATTTTAGGGGTCAGGATCAAGGGTCGAGGATAAAGCTAGCCAAACACCTTGCAATTCAAATGTGCAACTTTCTTGTGGATTTACCAAAACAATGCAATCAATTTGTAGCTAGTTAGGTAGCCACTCGTACTACATAATTGTTGGTACACCTAAAGAAGGTTAATCACATTGCACAGTGTATGGATACTTCAAGGAGACACCTTTTCTTTTCCTATAGCGTAGTTCACTCACTGGTTGAATCAGCAAGATGTCACAAGCGAGCGAGATTCTCTAGCTTACTGGACCAGTAAGAGAGGGACTCATAGGATTAATGGCAGTCTCACCGCAGTGTTTTGATGTGTGAACAGCAGTGGAATCGCCCACCTAACTTGGTTTTAATTGTCAACATATGGGGCTCTGTCAAGTCAGTAAGAACTGGCTTGTTCTGCCATTACCACCTTACCTGTATGCCACATGTAGTCAAAATTGTTCCCATATATATGCGGAGCAAACTGCTATTGCCATTAGCAAGGAATGATCCAAGAAGATAGGCAATTACAAAGTTGTACACTAGGGGCCAACCAGGTTATATTATATAGTAGATGTTCTGCAAAAGAGCCACACAACAGACCTTAAACAGCTCAAAGTGGTCCATAAACCAAAGAAATATGATGACATGAGTTTTCTATAAAAATTGTGAGTTTGTGCTTTTGGTAAAATTATTAGCCAATTTACAATACAATTTGCGTTACATTCCAAATATATATATGTAGTCATAGTCCAATAACATATACAGCGGTCCTTCTGGCTGACAGTCTCTGGCTTTGTTAACCCTTTGACAAAAAGAGGATTTCCAGTGCATGTTGGGATAATACTCTACAAGGTAACTCCACTAGACAGTGCTAGAGTTACCACTGCGCTGCACCTTTATTCATCTAGGTTTCCTCCATGTCTTAGTCTGACTTGTCCCCGTCATCATCAGGCCGTTGATCCCCATCATGACCATTCTTGTCTTCTTTGGGAAGATGTCCTTGGGAGCCAAGTGCAGACAGAGAGAGAAGGCCACTGCTTGCACTGACAGGCATTGAATGTCCCTGCAATCCCACAGGTAGAGGGGTGAGAGGAAGGGCAAGAGCCTGTAGCTGAGACAGCTGGTGGACTTGAAGTTGCTGCTGTGGAGTAAGTGAAAAAAACATCAGACAGGGAGTTAGACCGGGCGGCAAAAGCATTACTGAAGAAAACAGAAAAGGGAACAAAAAAAAGGAAAAACCCACCCACACCCTTAATCAATGATTATTTGTTGTCTCCCCACTATTGAGGAGTAATCTGCATTCACATGGCTTTTCGGAAACTGAGAATGTATAGTATTAAAATGGTAGGAAACGTTTTGATTTTTCAAGGGAACGTGTAACGGAAAATACAGGCATCGCTATAGCTTGGCCTGTTTTAGAAAACTTTACGACAGGCAGTCTCTCGCTGCACTGCTTTCTAGGTTATGGCCCTTGAACATGCATGTAGACCAGGAAAGTCAGCATGAAATCAGAGCATCTGATCTAAATACTTGTTAATGTTTAGCAACCCAGTACTGTAGCTACGAGTTCAGCATGACAACTGAAAATTACATTTTCAGAAGGAGAGGTCAGCAATGGCAGCCTCCATGTTTTTCTTTGCTCCAATTTCTGTTAAAGCAACACTGTCCTGTGTATAAAACACAGGCACCTAAAGTGAACTACATGTTTCTTCAGCAGACACCGTCTCTCTGCTGTTATGCTCACTATAGGACTGTTCTAACGGTCAAAGCTCTAGCACTTAAAGTGTGGAAATCTTCCCACCCTTTTCCTGTGCATTCCAATTGGCCAGTGAGGCAGCCCACCGCAGTGATGGGCCAATAGAAATATATGGGTTGCAGAAGGCAGAGAGACAACTTTCAACACTAGCAGGAAGCTTTGCCATTTTACATTCTGCATCTGAGGTACATGGTTTGCCTGCTTTTCGTAATGCTACAGAAAAGCATTATCCAAATCACCAGTTTAAAAATATATAGTCCAGATGCACAGCCTTCCAGCTACGTGTAGATCGTCTTTTACACACAAATCATGACCAGAAAAAAAAAAGTGCCCATTTTTAGTTTGAGTACCAGACTTGGCAAGTCAATGAGCAGAGCACACTGGGTACAAGTTTATTTTTCCCCCTCAAAACAACCCCAAAAAAACACCAACATACACGGATAATAGAATTCAGTTCTGGAGCAGTCACTTGCTTTGCTCTCTCAATGGCTCCCAGAACTTGTTGCTGATGCTGCAAAGAGAGAATTAAGATCAATACAGAAATAGAAAAACTGACAGATTAAATCTAGCATGTATTACTGTGTTCGGGGCAAATCTACAGTTTTACACCAAAGCATAGTATAAATTTAAAGAAACTTTTAGCTAAAAAGTCAGGTAAAGGAAAGGGAAGACCACTACTTCTGTAATATGCCGTCTCTGTGATTCTTGCAGTTTAAATTGCTTTTACTTGGGTGAGGGTTTCTTGGCTTCTTAAGGGTTAAAATCTCTACTAGCATCTCCTCCTTTGTATTGTTAGGAGGGTGGGCTTGTCCTACAAAAGGGTTGTGCATTCCAATGGTAATTAAGTTGAGGAAAGAAACACAATCCTCCAATTTCAGTCATAAATCCATAAGGACAGATAACTGTGATGTTGGCCAGAGAAAAAACTAAAAAACCTGGATTCAGCCATGTTGCCGCTACAACAAAATATATGATTTTTTGTTCTGTGATGTGAACACAAACATAAAGAGGGGTTTTCTGAAATTTGACTGGAAAAAGGTGGAAATATACTTTTTAGTCTTCTATCTGATAACTATAGAGAAACATACCTCCTGAGAGAGGTAAGGCAAAACCTGGGCACAAATTCCATTCAACCTCTTGACAATTTCAGCCTGGCACAAAAAATAAAAATATGGTTACAACAATGCACAAACAAAAAAAGTTGGCTTTTATTAATTTTCTGTACAGCACCTTGTAAAATGTTGGCATTAACAGACATTAAATTAAATCTCATCTGGCAGGCTGCAAGTCTTTGCTTTCCTGGCATATGAATGTTAAACTTAAATCAGGAGACCAGTTTTTGTTTCATTGGCAGAGCAAACCTGCAGCTGTACTGACTGGAACACCTCACTTCAATGATCATCGCATATATGAACTCATCCCAGAGGTTCGGATTTTTCTATTCACAACCTATTGTTTTCTTAGACATTGGGGTCAATTCACAAAGAGAAATGTAATTTGCGCTCTCTGGTTTTTACCTCTCCTTATTTTTCGTTTGAAAACATGATATTCACCAACAACCCAAACATTATTTAGCATGCTTGTTAAGGTTTCCGACTGAAACGTTAGGGAGTTGGTGTTTTAGCAAATGGAGTGTTAACTCCACGATTCAAGATGTAAAAAGTAAAGTTTAAAAAGGTATTAAAATATGCTTGATGCATTCTGGAACCAGAAGGGGAGGAGAACAGCGCCTACAAAGAATGTATTTTCAGCAGAGTGCACTGTTGTATGTACACAACTTTATTATAAAAAAAAAAAAACCTGTTGGTTTACGACACACTTCACTACCAGAAGTTGTCACCTCAGAAATCTCTTTCAGAGAAGAAAATACCGCCAGAAAAATGGTCATAACGACACTCTGAAGGAGGTGCTTATATAACAATCAACGATCGCTGAATGGCCAAAAAAAAAAAAAAACTTTGTAAATTGCACTTTTGGACATATTTAACTAGGCGTGTTAAACTACAGATTGAAACATTAAATAACGAGCAGCGTGATGAAATATCACTTCAGAGAAGAGAAACACTAATTTGTGGATTTTCTAAGCGTTACATTGTTTGGTGAATTGCACATGCTTAAATTTCGTGCGATATTAACTAATGAGCGAAATCAAGAAAAAAAAAAAAGGCTTTGTGAATTGACTCCATACTAACATATGTTACTTCCTGTGACCAGCAATCCAGTTTATAAAAATAGGCTAATTTTATATTCAATATTTATTATAGAACCTTGTTTTAGCATCCCCATGGGCCTTTGGGCAATAGCCATTCCCAGATTATAATCCACCACAGTTCATAAGTGTGAGAAAAAACTATTTAATGGTCAAAAACTGCTCACTGTCCTTCTGAGAACTATTCTAATACGTAGATTCTGATCCTTTGGGATTTTAGACACTAGAGCCTAGGGGGAAGCTTACATTACCTCAAAGAAGTGTTACAATTATTATATTTAGAAAAGAAGCTTCTTCACAGCTAGTAAAGTTACCTTCAAACTGATACATCCCTTTTAAATTTCTAATGTTTTCTACATGACAGTGTGCTGAAAGGGCAATAAGAGAGCCCAACCACTTTCCTAAGAAACAAGTAAAGGAAATAGTCCCTCCAGGGGGATGTTTGGAAGTATTGCAGCTGGAATCTAGTTACTAATACAGAAGCACTTGGACTTAAGAAGACCTTTTTCCTGATAATCGGCCTCAGACTGTAATAAATCTAAATTCGGCAGACAGAAAGGAGGATCTCAGCCAAGTACTAAGCTGGATGAGGAATTTTGCAGAACTCTTTTTAATACAAGTGATCCAAAGACATCGGAAGGCTGTGTGTAAGCATCTGATTCATGACAGCTGTGTAGCCAGGTTATTGTGGTGGTTATGGTTTGTGTCTAGAACTTAAGTGGAAGTTTCCACTCCTCCAAAAACTAGAAATGCCTTGCTGGCAAGGCTTCAGAAAATTCCCAGTATTAGAATTAAGCTAGTTCTAGGGCCATCATTTAAAAAAAAAAAAAAAAAAAAAGTAGGTATCATTCTGACAAAAAAAGTCTAATTAAACCACACTTCACTGCACTTACCTGTTTGTGCATTTCAATATTTAGGCCATAGGACATCTCATAATACTGGGGAGAACAGAAATCCTGTTATTATCGGAGAATGCATTGGTATACAGAATGCAGGCATACATTTTGAGACAGTGAAACTAAAAGAAAATTTCAAACACTTTACCTACTGAGAAAAACAGACATTTGTCAAATACAAGTGTGAAGCTGCTAAACAATATCTAAAATGATGCCACAAGGTACTAGAAAGATCTCATGATAGAAAAACAGTCCTGAAAATATTTCCAGTAGCACAGATTTGCCAATGACAATGGTAATCTACCTAAAACAAAAAAAACACTAAAATAATGGACCTATAACTAGACAATTCCAAGAAACCAACTCCAGCCAGGCATAGAACGTTGGGGGAAATCTCCAGGTCAGGTTTTTTTTAACCAAATTATTTATTTTTTTTAAAAAAATAAAAACACAAAAAAAAAAAAAACACAACTTTGGCTGGAGTTGAGCACTGAAATTCAGTATGGGTAATCCAACTCTTCAAAGAATATACTTATTTTTCTGTCACATTGCTACTGTTGCTGCACTGGTACTAGCCCCTTTCAACAAGTCTTGTGAAGACAGAATAAAGTAGATTAAAAGCAACTAAAAAGAAATCTTCAGTCAAAAAGAGTTTACTTGCAAGCTTGTTTGAACACTCATTTACCATTTGTAATGTTTACAACAGGGAATGTTTTACTGCCAAACACACAATGAATTCACAAGTCTCTGAACTGGCTCCCTATGTGGACTGTGGGCCCAGCTAGCATTTACACATTGTATTTCAATTAGGGATGCATCGATACCAGTTTTTCGATATAGGAGTACGAGTACGGATTTTTTTTGCGGTATTCGCCGATACTGATATCGGCATCCGTAGGCCTGGATTATCAGGAAGCGGGGTGGCTGGTTATGACCCGCCAGCCGGCTTCCCGATTGCCTGGAAAGTTGGTGTTCTATCGAAAGAACACCGGCTTCACTTCCCTCACGACACTGAGGCAGTGGGTCATGACGTGCCACCCGGCTTCCCGATTGGTCCAGAAGTCAGGCAACAAGTGAAGGCCGCTGCCTGGCCAGTCAGGAAATCAGGAGGCAGGTCATGACATACCGCCCAGTTTCCCCATTCTGAGGGGCCGGTGTCGAGGGGCCATATTTGTGCAAATTAATTGGGAAAGTGAAATTTACCCTTTAAAATAATTACACTTACACTCAATGAAGTATCCCCCCCCCCCCACCCCTAATAT